GTAAATGTGATTTTAAGGATCAAACCGTCAAAAATGGATCAGGAATTGTGTAAATATTGAAGACGATGACATGTCTGGGATCGCGTCTTAAATTCAGACAGAAGACATGTTTTATTGTCGATGGTAGAGACAGCACGAACAACACGAACACAGAATGCAAGTGTATTATACAGAGCGGAGGCATGGAGACCTCCAATCAGCAGCTTCCACGGTGCCATGTAGCTTGGCCTTCAGATAGACAAAACAAGGGAAAAGTACTGGCTTCTGCACATTGATAGAATTATTTGTTTAACTTTAACAAAAGTTGCTTAAAAGTGTTATGAAATCTCACAATATCATACTTTTTAATTGTGGAAAAGGAATACTTTGTTTGAATGTTGTCTGTTGGCTTCACTAATCAATTCTATCTTACTCATATCTGCGCAAAACAAAATGTCTGAAACAACTTATCCATAAAGGCAAGGCAAGTTTATTTATATAGCACAATTCATACTCAAGGCAATTCAAAGTGCTGAACAAAAATAAAACCACAATAGTCCTTGTTAAAGCCAAGTGTAATAAGTATTTCAATATTGTTGTCAAAATCGTTTTTCACAATATATCTTTGTATCATAAAACCACTGAATGTTAGTGAAAAAAAAATAATAATAAATTGTAAACATGTAAAAAGTGGGTGATATATTTTCTGTCAGAAGATTGACAGACTAGAGGCGGGCTCAGAAGCACTCATGTCCGTGGGGACTTTATTCCAGAACACAGGTCTTCCAGAGTTTCTTGCAGAGCTTTTTTCAGACAGTTTCTCCATGGTATGCATTTTATAGCACATTTTTACATCACATCACCTCACATTGAATTATCTCAGTATAGTCAGAACAACAGAGCCAAAACTGAAGTCGCCATGACCTTATCCCTTCCATGTTATGTCTGCGTTTGTCCATTGTGTGAAGGTCATTGATCACACTACTATTTCATCTACATCTACAACTAACTTTATTTCTGAACTTGCGGTAAAGATTGGTTTCATAATACTTTAACCTTTTGAAGATTACTTTTCAGCAAATACCGCCGTTCAACAATATAGTTATAATAAAGAAAATACAGCAAAAATGATGTTTTTCATTTCTGCCCACACATGTAACCATGATACTGTGACATTTGACTAGAAGAAAGAAAACGCATTTACCAAAACAAGACTCAAGTCATTGTTTTAAATGGGAAAGTTCATTCTGTCTATTTACTTAATAACTATTGCCATTTGAGTGTTACAAGCTGATGTCATTTGGTACACATGCGGCGCTACGTCATACGTCTCTGTCAAACCAAAACATACAAAAAGCTTTTCCCATTAGTGGAACGACTGTAAGTATGTGCCCCCGAAAGGTCAGGCAGGTTTAAATAACAAAACTTCATTAATTATTTTTGACCGTCAGGGGGGCGAATTTAAGCTAATGTCATGCAAGAAACCAGTAGGACTTAACCTGCATGGGGCTAAAGGGGTCAAACAAATTCCAATTTCCACTCAAAAACACACATTTCACGGCGAAACAGCGGAGGGCGAACAAAGTCTTAGCTCCACTCCACACCGGGAGCTTTTGTATTAGAAAACATACCACAGGAGTCTTGAGAATAAAGAATGCGGTTTCATTAACATCCCTTGCATTACAATGACACAGGAGTAGAGCCCCACTGTCAAGGAAATCTCTATAGAGACCGAATGGGGGGAGGGGGCGAGGGGAGAAAAGGGAAAAAAAGGGGAGGGGGGGTGTAACAAAAGTGGTCACGGCTCATCCGCGAGGCAACCGGGGGGAATCCATCACCTCCAGGATCAAACAGTGTGCCGTAGGTAAAGAAGAGAAAGCAGCAGAGAGTGCCTTTGTCTGCTCTGCATTGAAAAGAAACTATAGGATATATGTATGTACAGTTACAGGGCAAAGAAGGATTTAGTCAGCCAAAAATTGTGCAAGTTCACCCGCTTAAAGAAAATGAGAGACGTCTGTAATTTTTTATCATAGGTATAAATCAACTGTGATAGAAAATAACAGAAAATAGATCCAGAAAATCACATTGTCGGATTTTAAAAAGGATTTATTTGCAAATTATGGTGGAAAATTACTACTTAGTCAATAACAAAATGCCTGTAATGATGAAATTTGCAGGAATCTCTCATCTTTTAAGTGGGAGGACTAAAAAAATGTGTTTGCCCCACTGTATAACATGGCAACGATGACAAGAAAATGTTATTCAATATGTGGACAACATGGATTATGAACATTGGAACGACTTAAAGCTGGAGTATCTAGAAGTAGCAGTTTATTTGATGCAGTTTTACAAAGCATTTTTTGTTTACAGGTACATATCATTTCAAGAAACAAAGCTCAAAAGGAGAAGGCAGAAGTAAAAAGTGTATTATGTGCCTTCCCCATTATCAGTACCACACAGAATAATGCCTGTCATAAAATCCATTCAACTGTGGTTACTAGCTATGGAAACTGCCCTATCACTAGTTTTCAAATGCATGTATTTTTGGCTTCTGTCGCATCTTGAGATCAGCTTTTTCAGACAGAACAGTGAGGGAGGACCACTCTTGCTCAGCTCTCAGCCCAAAGCATCAGCGACTCACAAGGCTCCTTTTACAAGTATCTGAAGCACGTTCAGGGAATCATTGTGGTAAAAAAAGCTAAACGAAAATGTCCTCAAGCCTTTTTCTTTTTTTTTCCCAGTTAAAGGGGACAGTATTTAAGGGTTAGGGTTAGATCAAGTGGTCTTTTTGTTTCTTCAAATAGTTTTAAATCAAGAGAGATCCTATATTGGCCCCACAGCGAGGAAGTGCCAGTGTTGCATCGCCGCTTATAGAACAGTAGGAATGAGGAGCACACAACACAAGATAAATGAACAATAAAAAAGTTCTAGTCTAGCTCTCAAAATTGTCAGATTGTGTTTTGCCCTCACTCAGCCAATTAGGTCTCTGTATGTAAAATATTCTCTAATAAAAATAAAAGATAGCGTGTGTGGTTTGACTTGTACTTATAAAACTAACATACAAAAATTAGGTAACTCAGCTTCAATAGCAAGAATGGACCAGTCAGCAGATGATTAAAATATCAATCTCCATCTAAATAAGAGTTGTAACCTCACGATAGAGCAAGCCGTAACCAGTTACAAGCTGTACACAGGATGTGAGCTGTCACATAGTCAATGTCAGACTAGAACGAGCCTATGAGGGCATCACCAGAAGTCATGCAGTATTACTGATCCGTCCAAACAACTTTTAGCAGAAGAAAGTCGTTGCAATTACCATTCCATTTGTGCTTTCTGTTATGAAGTTTCATTTCTTCATGTGACAATGTTTTCACTAAAAGGACAAGAACATTCTCACTTAAATCCCACTGTGATTCTTAAGTGAGACAAGACTGGATTTGCCTTTTGCATTAGCAGCTCCAGAAGTCAAAATGCACTCACAAAATGAAACATACTACTTTATGAAAACTTTTTTTATGTCATTTGCAGTGATTCTTGTGTGTCTAAGCCTGTTTTAGAGCTACAAACACAGGGACAGCCTTGTAAAGGATTGGATGTAATAATTGAAGTCCTTGCGATTTGCTAAATATGGCCACTAACACCACGATTTGGGTTCGGTTGTGATTAACAAACAGAAAAGTACTAGGAGCTGGTGCATGATGGTTCCCAGTGTATGGCCCTAGATCACAACAATAGTTCTCTAAAGAGGACTTAAAAAAAACCGTTGAAATCGCCAACACAGATCAGGAAATCAAGTTCTGCTGCAGTGAATATATATTTGTGTGTAGTCCTGGTGAACGATCGTCAATGCCAAAGCCGACGTCAACACCACAGGGCGACAAACCAGTCAAAGTGAATAGCAGCTTTCCTCGCAGCGTCTGTTTGAACTCGCCCAAAGAGCACCAAACAAGGAATCCATCAGCCTCCCCTTTACTTTGAGCCCCCTTTTTTTGCTTCCCGTCACTGCCAGCCTCTGTGCACCCACCCCCTCCTCCCCTGACTCACACCAATGGCACCGTGCAACTTTTAGGCACGGACTGTGAAATCGAACTCAAGTGAGAAGTGTTTTCTGGTCCCAAACAACCTCCTATGTCTCACCTCGCTAACGGCAGCCGCTGATGCATTCAAAACTTTATTACCCTCTGAAGCTTTGTCAGATTGATCTGTCTGAAAATTGGGTCCGTTTAAAAAAGAATCATACATTTCTGACGGTAAAGCGTGGGGCTGAATTCAGAGATCGGTCTTGCTTTGTGCCCAGAGAATGTGTTGGGAGAGGTGTAGGGTCAGAGAGTTTTTTTTTTGTTGCTTCTGTGCCTTGTCAGAGCACATGTTTTTTGTAGTGCGAATTTATAAAGTGCATTTCACAGACTAAATGTTGCTTTCAAAAGGGTATTTCTGTTTATGTGTGTATCTGTGTGTCTTGCCTTTTTGTCTTTTGGTGTCTACACGTTTGAAATAAACAGGTATTATATTATACAATTACCATACTAATGACAAAAAAAAAATTAAGTCGCATTGCAAAGATGAACCATATATTTGCATTCCCTGGATCAAAGTGTAGCTAATTAGCAAGAGACAGGCTTATTACTAGCTGCATATGATACAAGTACACAGGGCCAGCTTAAGGCATTGTATATTGAAGGGTAGCAATATTCAAGCGCGTTACGACCTTTCTACGCAGTGGTGTGCCAAGAGAAATAAAACGTAAATATGAAAAACACTAATTATTGCGGAAAACGCTTTATCTCAGGTGACGAAAGTTTTGGAGCGCAGAAATATAGCAGCGAGGAAGCAGCCTGGAAAAAGATGGGAAAATATGTCAAAGCCTGTTCAGATCCTCCTCTGGCTGTAAAACAAACAACTCTCAAAACCCTGTGGAGGCGTAGACACAGACACACACAGACACACAAACACACGGGCAAAAGCAAGCGCGCAATCAGCACCCAACACCGAAAGAACCCCAGTCAAATTTCACTACTCACCGTTAAAAAGGAGCTGCCCCGCCTTCGTCACACCAGGCACCACTACGCTGTACACGTCCTGTGAGAATCCTGGCTTGCATGCGGGGGTGCCTTCCACTGAAATCTGTGGGGGGATGAAAAAGACACATAGCGGTAAATCACGATCCATAAAAATGCAAAAATGTCTGAGTCACGTTCCCCTGCTCGGTCCCTGCCACCACTTCTTGCACAAAAGCATCTGTTGTTTTTATAGCGGGCTCTGCAATTAGAGTAATGAGGCCAAAAGGGTGAAGCATTAGCCAAAAAGCATGGCTAGGCAGGAACAAGAACCATTTGTACCCCCGACTAAAGAGGCCCAGGCGAAGGGGTGAGGGTGATAGCTGCTCTGTTGTTTTAAACCCTGTGATCAGCCCCTCGACATTGGACAAACACTTCATACTATAGTGCGCCAGGCCATTCAAAATAAGCCATAACTAAGATACGAACAGACAAGGATAACAAACAATCGTGCAGATATGGCTTCAAGGCTGTTGGAAGTTGTTTTGGGAAAGATTATGCACGCTGTTGAAGTAAGTATAATGCCCAAACAAGGCATACTTTGTGGAGCAAGGATATAAAACTTGCAGCCAAACAGTTGGCCTTGTGTCTTCAGGCACAGCATAAATTAACAAAAAAGTCACTAAGCATGACGGAATAAAATGCTCCGGTGTCCATGCGTGACTATAAACATCAATCAAAACAGCCCGTGGCATTGATTTAGCCACTGGAACACAGCTAACCAGCCTCCTTTTTTTAAGATTGTATACAGGAGAATGAAACATGGGGTGAAGTTAACTGAAATGACAGAAACAGAGCTTTGTGCATTCTTTTTTCTTTTTTGGCATAGCAGTGCCACTTGCCAATCCTAATCTGAGGAATTTTGAATGGAAACTGCCTGGTGGGGGGGAGGAGCTGAGTGGATTTGAATGCATGTAACACTAACACACACATGCGAGAAGTCTTAAATCCAAATAGCATGGTCCAACAGAAAATCCCAACTGAAGTCTCCCAATAAGGACATAAAGCACATTTCCCTTAAGCTTGGTACAGGCAGAAGAGGTTGGGTAATGCACTTGGTGAATGATTAATTAATTCCAACTACATTAACCCAAAAGAAACGTTTTTTTATAGACGTAATGGGCTCTTTAACCAGAGAAGGCAATTTGCACTCTCAAAGCACGCAACAGCCATGCACATAAATATTAAAACATAAACTAAATATATCAGTCGAAACTGGGTTATTGCAATGCCAGGCAGTGCCCCTTTAACTTCCCAGACACTACACAGATCCGAGCCGAAGCAAACTCACCCACACCGGGTTTACAATTGCACGATGCGCAAAGAAGAAGCCTCTATCCAAAAGAAGAAGCCTCTATCCAAAACGCACGGAGCAACAAGGACCATACCACGCTGTACCACTATTACTTCACACGCAAATATCTTGGACCATGTTTCAGGGTTAATTTCTCTCCACGCCAACTACGCGCACATGTTCGCTGGTACTGGTGGAGCCGCGCACGTCTGGCTTGGAAATGCGTTAAAGGGGAGGTACAATAAAAAAGAAAAGAATATAGAATTTATGCGCAACTGTCCCGTTATGAACTCTGAAGCTGGAGATGGCGTAGTATTGTATTGTACGTGTACCTGCAGTCCTGCCAGCATAGTCAGCAGAAGGACCAGTCCGCTGCCTGGCTGTTGAGAGTACATCGTCTCCACAGTGTCGTTCCCCCGTACAGTCCAAACGCTACAAAATAAAATAAAGAAATATAAAAAAACAAAGAATATCCGTGGGGTGCCGTGTCTGGAGGGATCAGGTTAAGATGTCTCCTCCTATGACAAAGGCAGCATATGGAAGAAGCGTCGGGTCTCCTCCTCTTGTCTGTGTGGGGCTATCCGGTGAGTGGTGGTGGTGGAGGACTGGAGCACAGCGCGGTACTGAGGCTGCTTCGATCGGCTGCTGCTTGCTCCCTCCCCTCCCTCTCTCATCCATCCAGTCCCATAGACAAACAAGCGAACCGCTATGACCCGCCCCTATGCCTCTCCCCCTACCGGCGGCTGCTGGGACAGGGAGCACGGAGAGAGAGCAAGCTATATTTTACTTATTTTGTATGTGTGTGTGTGTGTGTGTGTGTGTGTGTGTGTGTGTAAGCTCGTTTTATTAAGTTGTCGATTCGCCAACAAAGATCACAGAATAAAGCAGTTCAAACTCAGGACATGCAGAAATAACAAACACAGCTAGTAACATAGCTAAAATAGCTTGAAAATAAAATGAAAAACACATTCATATTTTTATTAGAGGCATTGCAATTACCATTCCATTTGTGCTTTCTGTTATGAAGTTTCTGTTATGTCAGAGATGATAGAGAATTATCTTCTTCTTTACAAACCTTAACAAATCTCAAAATAAAACCATATCTCATCTTTGAATCAAGTCAAAACCATGAATGCAGATACATATCCACAAAAGTCATACACTCAAATGTCTAATAAGAAAGCATTATACATTGTACAAAGTCATGTTTCTAAAAGACACTGAAAGTCTAAAGTGTGGCTGAGACTGCATTCAGAAAGTGTCATCGACTTTAATGATTTGCCCAGTTAGTCGTGTGGCAGATTGATAAACAGTAGCCCACTGTGTATTGATCATTAGCTGGTGATTCTGATCACATCAGCCCTTTATAATTGCTCTTTACTGCATGTTTGATCTCCATGATTACACATCAATGCGTCAGAGCCCAACAACTGCAGCTCTCTCGGCGATATCTTACAAGCAGTGGGTTGCAAAATCGATAAAATATACAGTTTGTTCCATGTTTCATGTTTTTGTATCTGTGTGAGTTTGCAAGGCAGCACTCTCCGGAGCCTTACTCATAGATAGCTGATGGGAAAAACCAATGATGACACATATACTGTGCCATTTTGAATCAACAGTACCACCAGTGTTTTTTATTCTGTTTTATTTTATTCCAACAGAAAGTCTGTTTGAAGTAAAGCAATAGAGGATTAAATAAGTAAGTTATCATGACAAGTTGGAGGTGTACTCCCTGAGACAAGTGAAGGATCGTGAACGGTGGTGAGATGTATTCTTTAAGATAGAGGCGATGACTCATGAGTGAGGTCAAAAGAGTACATTGTTAAGTGAAAGAAGAACAAAGAGATTATAATTTGGGATGTGAGCAGTACATGTAGCGGCTGATGATTCAGATCACTCTTGTGACACAACTGTTGACTTTGTAGGGGCTGGAGATAGGAATGTGACCTGCTTCAGTGTTGAATATTAACTTCCAAAGTGAAAGTCTTAGCCTCAAAAGAATGACCTCACATCCCACTCTTACCTGTGGGAACTTTCCCCCAAAAGAGAAAATAAATCACAGTAAACTATTCTTTTGATCCTGGTTTTGAGTTTAGGGTGAGACAGAAAGCATCACAAACTTGCTTGATCTTCATTATTAAATGTAGAGTCCATGTGGTAGACTCATAGCAGGTTAAGACACAGATGTTTAATTGTGCATAAAAGTAGTTTTACTGTGTTTGTTTGAAATCAGCACAAAGCACCCCAGATTCTCAAGTCAACTACTGTACTTAATCATAGCTATTCGTAATACACACATTTATTGCCCTAAATCACAACAGGAGTTATCTCGGAGGACTTAACCAAACCATTGAATCCGCCAACACAGATCAGAGAATCAAACACATATAGAGCCATTGGGGCAGATGACTAATGTCCATACATGTTGATAAATGTTAATACATGTTTTTGAATGTGAAAGTATGGACCATTGAAAAGGACAAATAACATAAAACGCATAGGAAGTGTGTGTGTGTGTGTTGTGTGTATATGACAAATAACATGAGTCCTCGAGACACTTGGACAGCCACATCGAATCGTGCATTCCTCTAATTCATCTTCACTTAAGCTCAGAATGTGTAAGTAAAGCTTTTTTCTCATGTCCCACTAAAATATGCCATGAATAATTCCCTTAAATTATCTCCTCGTGTGACGCGGCCTGATGAAGGTTAAATTACCTCACAAGTGCGACTGCTGACACCTAATTAACTACAGTATAGGGAGATGGCTATATGCAAAAGACCTGTGTGCGACAGAGTGGTGTTTTGGTTACATTGCGGCACGGTGGCAGAGTGGTTAGCACTCTTGTTCTTTCTTAGTAGAGTTTGCATGTTCTCCTGGGTGCTCCGGTCTCCCCTACCACAGAAACATGTTCAATAGGTAAAATCCTGCAGCTCCAGTAGTCCTGACCAAGCTGAGCATCAACATCTGGAAATGGGTCCCTGGGCGCTGTACTACGGTGACCACTGCTCCTGACGGAAGCCTTGGCGGCATCAGGATGGGTCAAATGCAGAGAATGAATTGCGGGGATTATGGAAGTGCTTCTTTACCTTTACATTGGCGTTGGTGAACAGTATCGGCTCAATTGAATACACAATTCCCACACATTTCTGAAACTGTTCATAGAGTTCTAACCTATTGTACAATCAAGATTTTGAATTATTTAATTATGAATGCATTATTATTATTATTATTGCTGGGATTTAGCCAGGAACAGTACAAATCGTGTACTACTTATGGCTATACTTATTTATGTATCTGCTTCCATTTAAACTTGGGGTGGGCAATTTTTTTCTCCAGGGGGGCACTTTGGGATATAGCCCTGTTGTGGAGGGCCGGACGCAATTTCACTTGGTTAATTCTTAATCAAAGAACATTTTGGATTCATTAATAAGAACAGAATACATGTATATTTGCCATGGAAGCATTAAATATTCCATTAAATATTCACTCTCGATTGATTTAAATAAGCAACAGGCTGGTATGAGGTTAACAACTGGGATGTGTCCGAGGACGGCATAGAAATTTATCATGCCGGATTCCAATGCCCACGTCTAATGTAAACAGATGCGCTTGTTTGTGAATTGTGTTATTAAAATCAGATGATAATCAGCAAAACAAGCTGGCAACCCAAATGTGAGCCTCATCCTTTGCTCTTATTATCTGCTAGAAAATTGTAAACAAGAATATTATGTCCATTGTTTCTTTAATTAAGAATAACTGGATACTGAATCAAAGACACAGCAGCAGGCAGTGGAATACCCGCCTCACAGCGAGAAGGTCCTGAGTTTACTTTGGTGTTGCCTCTCTCCTCATACACATGGGGCTCTGGTGGTCAGTATCGGTTCAGAGCTAACTGGTGAAATTTGGCTGTACAACTTGTAAAATACAACTTTACTCCAGCAGTCAATGATTCATGAAGAATATTTGGCCAGTAAGTGTATTCACCTGTGAATTGTGTGTTTTGGTTTTGTACAATGTTATAATTAGATGGTTTCTCTCCAACTTTAACAAAATCTACGTTATCAATTGTCAAAAAGCATTTACCATTGTTTATTTTTGCCCTCAGTGTTTGTCTGTCTTTCTGCATTTCTGTCTGTTTATTTGCTTGCGCCTTAAAGGTACACTAAGTAGTTTTTACACAGATCTAGCTTTGACATCATATATTGTAATTTACGTTACTAAGGTAGCTTCACAGGACCATATGTCGTCTTTGACAGTGGTCCCCAACTCCTGCTCAAACTCCTTATTGTCCTCTATCAACCACTGTATTATAAACCAGGACAAACCAGGATAAACCAGGACAAGGGGGCTATCTAACTATCACACACCTGGGCCTCTGTCTTGATGAAGTAGGACTGCAGATGGTTCTGTCGTCCTGCCTCTGGTGGTAGGAAGACATCCTCCTGCAGGTGGTGAGTCCAAAGGAGCTGAGATCTTTCAGTGGGGGCGTCAGGCAAAGTGGAGTTAAGTGTCTTGCCCAAGGACACAACGACAGCAATCATCAGTGGGAGTCGTGAAGTAGGTCTTACGGTGGGCTCGAACCCACAACCTTCAGGCCCAAATGCCAATGCTCTACCAACTGAGCCACTGTCGCCCCAGTCTAAGGACAGTGATGATGAATGGAGACATTTATGGACATTGGTCATCCCGCTCCACGGACCATGTGTTTGTTTTCATTGCATTTACTGTGTTTGAACTGTTTGATTCTCTTATCAGTTGTTGGGAAATCAACAACTTTGTAAAGTTCTCTGCTGTTGTGTTTTTGGGGCTAAAGTCTCAGTTACGAAAAAGAATAAACTACTGAATGACTGCCCTGTTCCAGTACCAGTTCTAGATCTAGTTATTAATGCATTCATTTCCACATCTGGGCCAAGAAATGCATTTCACTTTTGAGTTTAAGGGATTTTATTGAGAAAACGTGTCCTCTGTATTTGACTACGGCAACATGTGATCACTTTAGCGCAGAAGATGGAAGATATGTTCCGTCTTATGTTTTTGATGAGAATACAAAAGATCTGCCCTTGAAGAGTTGATATAACGAAAAACAACTCTGCTTTTGCATACTTCTGTCATTCACTTAGAATGAAATACAGTGTAGTTGCAGAGAATATTGTCATTTTACATATTTGAGAGTTGAACTTTCATTTTAAAAAGAAAAATTGACTTATTGATGTCGACATATTGGAAAATAACTACTGTAAGAATAGCTGTATTTAGCCTTGCCTTGATGAAGACCAGAGAGCGGTCAAAACATGTCGCTATGTCGCTTCCACAATAAAGGATTTTTAAGATAAGTCAGAGAGCCTCAGACCTTTTTCTCTTTGCATTCTGTTGTGTTTTCCCACGGATCCTC